GCTATAAATTTTAGAGGCCTTTCAAGCTTTTTCTAGGAATCTACCCTCTCTGGGCTTCAGTGTCTAGTAAGCTCCCAATTAAAGAGGTTTGCTGATTAAGTTATATAGCTCCCTCTGGTGGTTATATGTAGTACTGCAGTCTCTCTGTTGGTGTAGACACTAGGTAGTACTGGAGCTCCATCTAGTGTGTATTCATGATATTGCATACTCTGGCGCACAAGTCAGTGCTTGGCTTAAGCCAACATAGAAACTAATCTCTCAGGCACCCCCTACTCCATTTAGTGCAGATGTCAAGACGCTGCTTGGGTCACCTGTGTTCCATATGGGTGTGCCTAGGTTTGTGCTCTGCTTCCACGCCTGATTTTAGCTTCCTGTTAATGCACCTGGGAGGCAGCAGGTGATTGCACAAGCAGTTGACTCCCTACCACCCACACAGGAGACCTACCTGGAATTCATGGCTTTGGGCATCAGTCGGGCCCAGCCCTGGATGTTGTGGGTATTTGGGGAGCCAACCAGTGAATGGACAATCTCTCTGTCTCTGTCTCTTTGTCTCTGTGAAATGAAAATGAAAATAAATAATGTTTCAAACATCATATTGTTGGATATATATTCTATTTTCTTTCCCTACTCACGGATAAGGGAGGGGTTGAGAATTTTCTCCTAATTTCACCTGTTGTTCTGGGAGGATGGGCTCTGGAAAGTGAGCATCATGACTTGTCCTACTAGTCTTCAATGCCATTGATGTCCCACTGGCCTGGGGTGTAGGAACACCTTAACTATTTTCTGGATTTCTTATAAAAGCAATTGATTCAGTACAAGCGTACTCCAAAAACTTCACAGCAAAATGGAATTAAAAGGTACTGCATATTTTCTATAAACCTCTTAAATACTGCTCATATGTTGTTATGGCACTGTCTCCATGGAGGAAGTAGGATCTAGAGCTTCCTGTTCTGCCATCTTGCTGATATAAATCCTGTGAATATATTCTTCTCCTTTTAAATAGCTTTACTGACCTATGATTCAAATACCATACAATTTACCCATTTAAAATGTACAAGTCAATCATTTTTAAAATATTCACAAATGTGTGCAACCACAACCACAGTCAATTTTAGAACATTTTCATCAATTCAAATAGAAATCATATGCCATTTAACTACCACTCTCGCTTTCAGTTACCATCCTCCAAATCCCTAAGCAACTACTAATCAATCCTGTGTTTCCATAGAGTTCTCTATCCTAGACATTTCATATGAGTGGACTCAGAATACATTATATGTTTTTATTGGCTTATTTCACTTAGCATAATATTTTCAAAGTTCATCCATATTGTAGCATTGTCAATATTTCATTATTTTTATGGCCAAATAATACTGTATTATATGGATACACCACATATGCAAAAATGAAAAGAAATCTAGAGACAAATATAACTCATTTAATTAGATACAATAATATTCTACAAAATATTAACAAATTGACCCAGTAATATATAAAAAGAATTATATACCAGGATTAGTTTCTTCCAAGTAAGTAGGGTTGGTTCAATATTTTTTAAGATTTATTTTACTGGAGCTGACATTGTGGCACAAGTGGAGTAAGCCACTGCCTGTAATGCAGGCATCCCATATGAGTGTTGGTTTGAGTCCCAGCTGCTCCATTTCTGATCCAGCTCTCTGCTAATGCACCTGGGAAAGCAGCAGGATGATGGCTCAGGTGCTTAAGTCTTTGCCACCCACATGACTCCTGGCTTTGGCCTGGCCCAGACCCAGATATTATGATCACTGGGGGGTAAATCAGTGGAAGGAAGATCTCTCTCAGTGTGTCTCAGTCTCTCTCTTTCTGTAACTCTTTCGAATAAATAAAATTTTAAAATTTATTTATTTATTGGAAAGACAGAATTATAAGATAGAGCGAGCGAGAGAGAGATCTTTTGCCTGCTGGTTCACTCCCCAAATGGCTGCAACAGCTGGAGCTGGCCCAGGCCAAAGCCAGGAGCCAGAAACCCCATCCAGTCCCCCACATGGGTGACATGGACCCAAGCACTTTGGTCATCCTCCTGCTGCTTTCCCAGATGCATTAGCATAGAGCTGGATTGGAAGGAGAATAGCAAAGACTCCAAACGGCACTCTGATATGGAATGCCAGTGTTGCAGGCGTTGGGTTTAACCCACCGAACAACAACGCCAGCCCTGGTTCAATATTTTAACATCAATCAATACAATCCACTACATTAATAGGTTGAGAAAAAGACTCACAAGATAACAATTCATGCTGTAAAACATATGACATTTCAGGAGCCAGCACTGTGGTATAGTGGGTAAAGTCACCACCTGTGATGCCAGCATTGCACATGGGTGCTGTGTCCAGCTGCTCCATTTCCAATCCACCTCCCTGATAACATACTTTGGAAAGCATCAGGAAGATGGCCCAAGTTCTTGGGCCCCTGTCACCCATGTGGGAGACCCAGATGAAGCGCTTGGGTCCTGGCTTCATCCTGGCTGAGCCCCTGGCCATTGTGGCCATCTGGGGAGTAAACCAGTAGATGGAAGATCTCCCTCTCTCTCTCTGTAATTAAGAATTTCAAAATAAATAAATATTTTACAAAAAAACACTTGACAATTCAATACCCATATGTGAATCTCAACAAAGTTGTTTTTAAAAAGCTTCTTAAGGATGGACATTGTGACGTAGCCTATTATGCCACTACTTGGGGTGCCCACATCCCATAACAGAATATCAGTTCATGACCTGGCTCTCCACTTCCACTCCAGTTTCTTGCTAATGCACCTGGAAAGGCAGCAGATGATAGCCCAAGTACTTGGGTTCCTGTCACTCACATGAGAGACCAGGATGGAGTTCTGGGTTCCTGGATTTGGTCTGCCCCAATCCTGGCTGTTGTGGCCATTTGGGGAGTGAACCAGGAGATAGAAGATCTCTCTCTTTCTCTCCCCCTGCCACTCTGCCTTCCAAATAAATAAATCTTTTAAAAATGCTTTTTAAAAGTAGAAATAGAAGGAAACTATTTATATTTACATTCATAAGGAATATTATTAAATAATACTCATGAGGAGTTGGATCATAAGTGGAGCAGCCAGGACTCGAACTGGTACCCATATGGGATACCAGCAGTGCAGATGATGGCCCAACCCGCTGTGCCACAGTGCTGGACCCAGCAAAACAAATCTTAAAAACAAAAGCTGTTCTTTCTCAATGAATTGTCTCAGAACCCTTGTTTAAAATCATATGACCATGGATGTATAGGCTTGCTTCTGTACTCAGTTCAATTCCACTGACAGATATACCTATCTTTATCCTATTACCACATTACATTGATTACTCTAAGTTATGAAATCAGGAAGTATGAGTCCTAAAAGTTTGCGGCCTTTCTCAAAATCTCTTATGAATATAAATGAAAAGACAACCCTCAGAATGGGAAGAAAGTACTTTCAAAGCATAAAGCTGATATAATTCTAGTACCTAGAATATATAAGAACTCTTAGAACTCAAACAACAACATGACAAACAGCCTAATTTAAAAAGAAAAGGTGGCAGGCATTTGGCACAGTAGTTAGGTTGCTGTTTGGGATGCCCATATCCCAGGTAGGAGTGCCTGGTTCGAGCCCTGGACCCTCCACTTCCAATCCAGCTTCCTGCTAATAGACCAGGGAAGGCAGCAGATGATGGCTTAAGTACTTAGATACCTGCCAACCACATGGGACACCCAAATGGAGTCCCACACTTCTGATTTTGGCACAGCCTTGGCTATTGTGGGCATTTGAATGAGTAGATAGAAGAGTAGTATCTCTCCCCCACCCGTTTCCTCTCTCTCCCTCCCTCTGTCAAATAAAATGAAAATAAATAAATTTTTAATGACAAACGATCTGAAAAAGAAATCAAGAAAACAATTCCATTTACAGTAGCTACAAAAACATACCAGAATAAACATAAGTACAGAAATGAAAGCTCTATAAAGCAAATATTATAAAACATTTATGAAATAAATTAGACATAAATAAATATTTACCCCTTATTAATAGATTGGGAAAAATCATATTGTTAAAAATGTCCATGCTGCTCAAAGTGATGTACAGATTCAATACAATCCTTACACAATGACATTTTTCATAGAAACATAAAAAGTAATCTCAGAATTTATAGAACCACAAATAACCCCAAACACGTAAAACAATCTTATGCAAAAAGAACAAAACTAGAATATCACATTAATTGATTTAAAAATATACTTACAGGGGTAAGCATTTGGTATAGTGATTAAGATGCTGCTTGGATTGTCTGTATCCTATATTGGAGTGTCTGAGTTTGAGTCCCAGCTCTGCTTCCAGTTCCATCTTCCTGCTAATGCATAGGCTGAGAGGTAGCAAGTAATGACTCAAGTACATGGGTCCTTGTCATCAGTGTGGGAGATTCAGATTGAATTCTGGGACCCTGACAGCATGGCCCAACCCTGGCTATTGTGGACATTTCAGAAGTTAGCCAGCAGATGAAAGATTTCTTTCTCTCCCTGTCTCTCTCTATGCCTTTCAAATAAATAAATAAAAATATGACACAGAGTTGTAGTAATCAAAACAGCATGGAATAGTATAAAAACATATAGACAAGGAGCCGGCACTGTGGTGTAGCAGGTAAAGCTGCTGCCTGCACTGCCGGCATCCCATATGGGTGCTGGTTCAAGTCCCAGCCGCTCCACTTCCGATCCAGCTCTCTGCTATGGCCTGGGAAAGCAAAATAAGATGGCCCAAGTCCTTGGACCCCTGCACCCATGTAGGAGACCAGGAAGAGGCTCCTGGCTTCAGATTGGCACAGCTTCAGCCATTGAGGCCAATTGGGGAGTGAACCAGCGGATGGAAAACATTCTCTCTCTCTCTCTCTCTCTCTCTCTCTCTCTGCCTCTCTTTCAAATAAATAAATAAATTTTTTAAAAAAAAAACATATAGACAATGGAATAGAATAGAAGGTCCAAAAATAAATCTGCACATCTATAATTAATGACTTTTTTTCCAAAAGGTGTCAAGAACACACAATGGAGAAAGAACAATCTCTTCAATAAATGGTGCTGGGAAAATTGGATAGCCACACACAGAAAAATGAAATTGTACCCATATCTGAACTCAAAATTGATTACAAGCCCTTAAACTTTAAACTACTAAAAGAAAGCAGGATTACTTGATATGCATCTTGGCAACAAATTTTTGGAGAAGACCCCCAAAAGCAGAGAAAACAAAAAAATGAACAAATGGTATTACATCAAACTAAAAAGTTTCTGCACATCAAGAGAAACAACAAACAACGAAGAAATAACCTACATAATGAAAGAAAATATTTTTTAAAGATTTATTTATTTACTTTAAACTCAGAATTACACAGAGAGAAGGATAGGCAGAAAGAGAGAGAGAGAGGTCTTCCATCCACTGGTTCACTCCCCAATTAGCCGCAATGGCCAGAGCTGTGCCAATCCGAAGCTAGGAGCCAGGAGTTCTTCTGGGTCTCCCACATGGGTGCAGGGACCCAAGCACTTGGGCTATCTTCTACTGCTTTCCCACGCCATAGCAGAGAGCTATATTGGAAGTACATCAGCCAGGACTCAAACTGGTGCCCATTTGGGATTCTGCTATGCCACAGTGCCAACCCCAAGAGAAAATATTTATAAAGCATATATCTGATAAGAGGTTAAGATTCAAAATATAAAACATACATCTGATAAGGGGTTAAGAACCAAAATATGTAAGGAACACAAGCAAGTCAATAGCAAGAAATCACTCAATTAAAAATTGGGCACACAAGACAATGAGGCAAAAAATGTCCTACATGAATGACCTCTGTGGGTGAGACCCCAAGGGAAAGAAGTGATCATCAAAGAAGGATGTACTTTTCTCTGAAGGGAGGAGAGAACTTCCACTTTGCTTATAGCCTTGTCTAAATACTGACGGAGTTCGTTGATTCAAAAGGCTTCCATAGCCTTGACAGCTCATGTCAAGAGCCTTGGGTAATCACTGATGTCATACATAAGAGTGTTAATTGTTAAATTAACAACAGGAGTCCCCATGCGGGACCTCTGTCCTCAGTGAGTTGTATTATGAGAGTTAATAGCAAAACTTGTTCTCAAAGATTTATTTCACTTTAGTGTATTAAGTGGAGGATATTCTTATGTCTTAAAATTTTAGTTATGCCTAAGTATCCAACTCTGCAGATCAAGGCTTAACCTTCTATGCCACAGAGCCACCCCACAGACTATTCACATTATACATGCTACCCACCATAGGCATCTTGGCTATCAGATTGAGTGCTGTCGTATTGCACTATTTGTGTTTAAGTAAACTTTATTTTACTTAATAATGGGCCCAAAGCATAATAGTAGTTATGCTGGCAATTCAGATATGCCAGTGAGAAGCCATAAAGTACTTTCAGTGAAAAGATGAAAGTCTTCAATTTAATGAGGAAAAAAGAAATAATATGCTGAGGTTGCTGAGATCTATGGTAAATTATTGTTAATCTCTCATTGTGCCTAATTTATAAATTAACTTTATCATAGATATATATGTGCAGGAAAAAACAATGGATTTATGTACATTCAGTACCATCTGAAGTTTCAGGCTTCCACTGGAGGTCCTGGAATGTATCTCCTGCAGATGAGCAGGGACTATTGAATTTTCCTGCTTCCAGGAAGTTGGTGATTCTTCCATGGTAAAGATTCCACATTTTTGGTAGACATGCAAAACTCCCCCAATCCCCTTGTTGTGGGATGATGAGGGTGATATCAGTTCTTATCTCACATTGCAGAATTTCCATGCAGACAGGGACAGTGAGCAAAGCAAGATTTATTCAAAGTGAGAAACTTCCTGCCACAGGAATCAGGAGGGGGACTCCAAGGGAGGAGTGGCCAGAGAAGTTTGCCAGTGCTGGCTCTTTTATACACAAAGTGGCTCTCTCTGATTAGCTGCTTTCTGAAAACCAAATATAGATTTAAACAATCAAGGGATCAGAATAACAGCCAATCAGAAGCTAGGGATAACAGCCAATCAGGGGACTAGAATAACAACCAATCAGGAAGCAGGGATAACAACCAATCAGAGGGCTGGAATAACAATCAATCAGGGGGCTGAAAGTGTATGCTAATGAGACATGCTATGCTAACCAGAGAACTGACAGTATATACTAATGAGGCATGCTACCTGGATCCATCAGAAAACTGAAAGTGCATGCTAATAAGGCATGCTAAATGAACCAATCAAGGAACTGACATTGGAGCAGCCTGGTTTGCATAGAAGAGTGTAGAGTGCTCAATCAGATCTGATTAGCAGACTCAACATCTGAAGATTACATTGTATATCTTCATATTGTATATGTCCCCCCACCTTCCAGCAACCCCATCTCCTATCTCCCCCTCCATAAGGGGCCCTGAAAAGTTATATCATGTGTTGTCTTCTTTGCCATGTCCCCCCAACTCCCCAGGGCCCCCTGAAACTGCTGTTGAGGTAACACTTACTTGGCAGATGATGAATCCGCCTTCTTCACAGCTAAGAATCATCTATAGAATCACCAAGTCAGCAATGTTCAGCAGTGGAATCTGTAAGAGGTGTAAAGAAAATAATAAAACAGCAGTTTCATCAAATGGGATAAAGCTACAGCACAACAAAAGGAAAAATTACTACACAGACTTTCCCAGGTCTTCATTCCAATAGTGTATCCTGAGAAGAAGAGGAAAACAAAGTCCTCACTTAATGCTGGATAGGATATAGGATATGTAGGATATGAGAATGGCTCATCTTTCATGAGTTTTCACTCTAACATAACATTTCTCCCATTGTTTTTCTCTCAATTTCTTTGAGAGAAGGTGGTATACATTGTCAAACAGCATTAAAAATATAAATTCCCATAGTTTTATTTCAATTGCTTTATAATTTTTCTGTATTTGTTCCAGACCTTGGCTGCTTACCTAATCCTCTCCTCTATCACAATACACATACTTCACTTTCTAAATAAACTGTATCACTCAAATTTTCTGGCTAAAATCATTCTAAGTAAAATCAGTACTTTGAGGGTCCTGCGCTGTGGTATAGCAGGTAAGGCTGCCGCCTGTGGTGCAGGCATCCCATATGGGTGCCAGTTTGAGTCCAGGCTGCTCCACTTCCAATCCAGCTCTCTGCTATGGCCTGGGAAAGCAGTAGAGGACAGCCCAAGTGCTTGCACCCCTGTACCCGTGTGGGAGACCCAGAGGAGGCTCCTGGCTCCTGGCTTTGGATCAGCACAGTTCTGGACGTTGCAGCCATCTGGGGAGTCAACCAGAAGATAGAAGACCTCTCTTTGCCTCTGCCTCTCTGTAACTCTTTCAAATAAATAAATAAATCTTTTTTAAAAATCAGTACTTTGTATAGTGAAATAATAAAGACAAGCAATTCAGTTTTCCTGTTTGGATTTGGGAGGAATGGAAATTTTTTGAAAGTCACTGCCTAGTAGTAGCAATGAAAGGTCATCTTTGAGCTGACAAAAAATACATTTCCTCTGTGCTCACCTTTCTGTTATCTTCTAAGTATATTTGGCACGATTTGCTATTCTACTTATCTCTATATTTTTTTCTCAGAGCAGTTACAGCAAGAAGACTCTGCTCACAGGTAAGGACAGAGGCAGCACCAACATGAACTATAAAGGGCAATGCAAAAATCCCTAAGAAAAATAAGACACAGCTTGAAGTTTTGGGCCCCAAGTGGCCCAATATGAACAAAGGCTCCAAGTTCTGAGATTCAGAAATAGCAATCTCCCTGAGGGAATACTCACCTTAGGTTGAGCAAGAAAGAAGTCTCCTTGTTCAAAACCTCAGGTGACCATTCTCCAGATGTATTAGAGTGAGTCCTTTCTTCTTTATTATCAAAAAGCTTATACATAGTACTATCTTGTCTGGGGTGCCTACATATATGCTCTTTAGGGAGAAGACATTAACACAAATATTTACAGGATATACCAAAATGTAATAAAATATTTAATATTTTGAGTATTCATACCATACACATATCAGGGGCCAGAACGAGTAGTGCTCAAAAGATAGTAGACACAGAGGTATTAGTAGTCCATAAATTACTATATATTGAGCATGAAACAATTATCTGAGGCTGTATAGTGAAAGAAATTATTAGAAAAGAACATCTCAGACACTTGCATGGGACAAGGCTCACAGATATAAAACATGTGGCAATCTGAGGTTCTGACACTAAAGGGTTTTGGACTTCATTCATAAGGAGTAAGAAGGGCTTTTTAAGAGGAGAAGGAATGATCAAAGGAAGACAATTCTTAAAGAAATCACTTTAAAGAGCTCACCATTTTCTCAGAGGGTAATAAGAATTTCCATTCTATTCAATAAAAAACAGAAATTTTATGTTCAGTACATTCTGACACAAATTTATCACAATTCAACCAAAAAATTTTTATAGCATAGAATAAAAAAGACTGATAAAGACTTAAGAGTAAGTGGAATCTAAATGGAAGTCTAGGGAAGACAGGGCTATTTTAAGGTAATAGTTCCTAGAATTGTCTATCAGCTGCAAAGAGAACCTACATATACTTCTCCAGTATGGGATAGTGATGCCACTTGTAGCTTCTCAGTGAAGAGCCCAAAGGAGAATGCATACTGGGTCACATCAAACTTATACCCAGAGAACAGCTGAATAACATGGGCATCAAACAAAAAAGTGAGGGCTCACAACTGTCCATGCCTTTATAGTATTTGATTTATGCAAGTAAAGAAGTGGGGGGCTGGCACTGTAGTGCAGTGGATTAACGCCATGGCCTGAAGCGCCAGCATCCCATGTGGGCACTGGTTCGAGACCCAGCCTGCTCCACTTCCAATCCAGCTCTGCTATGACCTGGGAAGGCACTGG